ACACCCCAGCAGACATCCACAGAATCGTCTACACAGCACCCAGAGTGAACTATACCCAGCAGACATCCACAGAATCGTCTACACAGCACCCACAGTAAACGACACCCAGCAGACATCCACAGATTCGTCTACACAGCACCCACAGTAAACTACACTCCAGCAAACATCCACAGAATCATCTACATACTGCTACAAGATCAAGGAATCCAGACTTTAGACTATTTAGTGGGAAAAACAGTACCGTGCTAAATGCCAAAGTGGGAGAAGATTAAGCAGAATCCACAGAACACTAGGAAAATCCAAATATTTGAAACATGTTTTTCTAGTACCTACTTTTAAAGGAACTACTAACATCTAATGTGTCTTAGCATCTGTGTTTATTGTGCTTTTTTGGGGGAAGGAGGGGCTTTTCTTATTTTGTACTATTCTGCTTTGTTTTATTTTTATCTCAATTTTATTATAGCTTCTATTCTTTTTTGTTTCTAAAGAGAAAAAGAAAGGGTTGATTGGAGTGGGTGGGGAAGTAGGAATAATCTGGGAGGAGTTAAGGGAGGAAAATACTACATGAAAAAGAAAACTATTTTCAAAAAAAGTTTGTAAAATTAAAAAAATCCAATCCAAAGGTTACTTCCTTTCTGCCCAATGGCTATGTAATTTATAAGTTGTAAAATTAAAACTATTAAGGAAAAACTATAACCTAAAAGCTCCTGGCCCTAGCTGTCATCTGCCATGTTCTTTTTGCCATTTTGTAGTTTCTTCACATCCCTGAAGTCGGGTTCCCACAGCTGTCCTGTACGACTCCCAGGGAAGGGGCAAGAAACATACCTGAGGGTTTAACGTACCACATGCTACTCACAAGCTGATGCTGGACTAGCAATTAACTCAAAATTCTAAAGAAAAACATTCTCCTGAGTGGTTTTAAAGACTTAATCTTTGGTGTCTTAGTCTCACACAAGACAACAAGCGGCAGAATAAGAAGTTAAAGTGGCAGCCTCAAGGGTTACCTGCGAAGCACAACCCAGGTAAAAAGACTCCAGACCGCATTCTTTAACTGAGGACATAAAATTCTATCTCCATCACCAGCAAAACTGCAAAACTAGATTATGACTGTGACTAACACCGAGTACGTTAGAAAAGGAGGCCTTTTGCCGAGTACCCAAATAAAACCCGCTGTGTGCACGGAGGCACAGAGATTCCTCAGCCTTCAACAAATCTGTTGTAACAACAACTCCCCTCCTTCCCCGCCTCCCTGTCCTTAATTCTCCCACAGCTGGAAAAAATGAGCCGGAACCTGGTGTTTATCTTCTAGCACCATCAGCAGTCTAGCCTGCTCGCCTCCAAGCAGCCCTTTATTTGCTGTTTGCACTCACACTTGTGGGCACCTCATGGGCAATGTCAGACCTCAGAACCGGCCTCCTCCATGTGGCTTCTCAGACACTGGAGACATCTGGAGCCACCTCAGTGCAGGTAAGACTGGGAGGGCTACTGGCAAAGGTATGGAGAGCTTCTAGACCGTGTAGGCAGCTAAGTACAGAACTGTGGGTATTGCTTCATTTGAATTAGAAGTTACACATCTGTCTTTAAACATTTTTGGTATGATAAATCTTTTCTGGAATACTGGCTTCAAATTTTGAAAGAAAAAAAAAAATCGATAGACTTCCTTTATGGCAAGCAGTCCATAAACTGGCCATTCCTAAGTTCTGTTCTCCACGTGACGTGTTCTCCCTGAAGATTCCAGTTCCCATCTGTGTCCCCTTGGCTTTGAGGGACCGCCACAGTATTTCCTGGTCATCGCTGCTGCTACCACAATTGCTGGGCTAAGTGTGCCTTGCTTCTCCACCAGACTGACACTGAGGGAACATGCCATATAAACTATTATGCCTGTGGCTGGAGAGGCAAACCCTAAGCGCAACTGTCTACCTGGGGCTGGACAGTGACTGTCACTTTCGAGAACATCTTTAAACATAGTTCTCTATGCACAAGAAGCATGTGAAGTCGTCTTCCACAAGAAGCAGGCGTGCTTACTAGATGATGCAGTGTCTTAGTATTTACTTGCTATTTTGCCTGTCTGAAATTAATCACTGCCAGAACTTGTAAATTATTACAACCGATTGCAGGTCTGCATGATACTGAAATGTATAAAACATTGTTTGATGGAAAGAAAAGGGCTATAATGGAAAAGCTGGATAAACTGATCAACATATAACAATTATCCCATCCACCAAGAAAGCAAAACAAAAACACCCGAAAGCAAACATCAGGTTGATCATAGGGAGTGTCAACAGTGAACTCAACTGCTGGAAAACTCCTGGGCTAGAAACGTCTGTGAGATAATGTCAGAGATTGACACCTGAACTCAGCAGCGATTGTAAAACTGCACACATGTGCCTGAACTCAGCAGCTATTTTAAAACTACATACATGTGCCTGAACTCAGCAGCTACTGTAAAACTACACACATGTGCCTAAACTCAGCAGCTACTGTAAAACTGCACACATGTGCTGGAACTCAGCAAGTACTGTAAACTACATACATGTGCCTGAACTCTGTAGCTACTGTAAAACTACACACGTGCCTGAACTCAGCAGCTACTGTAAAACTACACAACTGTGCCTGAACTCAGCAGCTACTGTAAAACTACACAACTGTGCCTGAACTCAGCAGCTACTGTAAAACTGCACACATGTGCCTGAACTCAGCAGCTACTGTAAAACTGCACACATGTGCCTGAACTCAGCAGCTACTGTAAAATTGCACACATGTGCCTGAACTCTGTAGCTACTGTAAAACTACACACATGTGCCTGAACTCAGCTACTGTAAAACTGCATACATGTGCCTGAACTCTGTAGCTACTGTAAAACTACGCACACATGTGCCTGAACTCAGCAGCGATTGTAAAACTGCACACATGTGCCTGAACTCAGCAGCTATTTTAAAACTACATACATGTGCCTGAACTCTGTAGCTACTGTAAAACTACACACATGTGCCTGAACTCTGTAGCTACTGTAAAACTATACACATGTGCCTGAACTCAGCAGCTACTATAAAACTACATACATGTGCCTGAACTCAGCAGGTACTGTAAAACTATACACACGTGCTTGCCACCACCCCCTGCCTCTTTAGCTTTTAGCTTTCTATTTTGGTTAGAGCTAGGAAATCTGGAAAACAAAGGAAACCAATTGCCCAGCAGCAGGTGTGTCCCAAGATCACTGAGATTTGTACACACTCACAAAAATGCAAGAATCTCAGGGGCTCCTTCTGTAAAATCACGGGATTGGCAAACACAGAACTCAATCCAGGCAGAGAGGGAGCTGACGCCCTAGAGACCGGTTTGTAACCATGGCAGGCCTGTGCTTCCCACACCGCCCAGACTAGCATCACCTCTGGATTTTAACAAGGGCCCAGCATCAGCCTCTCGGTGAGAAGGAAAGCCGAACCACTGGTGTATCCACACCCTGCGCGGACCTTTGTTTTCCTGGTGAGGAAAGTTTCTGTCTCTATGTAGCACAGCAGTAGTAAACACAGGGGAACAGGAAGGACAGAGGAAGACAGGGATGGGGAGAGAAGGGCTGCACACCGCAGCCTTGCAGAAGGCCGTGGCAGGGAAGCTTCCAGCACAGTGCACCAATTTGACAAAATAATGACCCTGGAGACAACAGCTGAGGTTTCCTTCAGCTCTAGGAGTCTAAGAAAACCAAGTCAGCCCAAGGAGGGCTAATCAAAATTCCACGTCCCACTTTCTGGAAGGACACTCAAGTGCAAAGAAGCAACAAGAAACCACGAACCACCTCCAGGCTATTTGAACAGGTCATGTATCACGTGTCCATTCGTGAAACAAGTGTGTAAGTATGTGTAAAAAATCATAACTCACTGCAGCATATCTTTAAAATTATTTCAGAAAGACCAAAAAAAAAAAAAAAAAAAAAAAAAAAAAAAGCCAACATTGCATGCCAGAGACCATTATACTGTTCTCAAAGCAGTAAAACATATCAGGTGGAGTACGTAATGACGGAACAAGATGATGAATATGGAATTAGGAAGTTGTTTTGTCTTTTTAAAGCCAGCTACAAAGTTAAACCAGGGACGGAACGTTATTTTACCTACAGCCAGTAATGGCCTGTCTCTGGCACAGACTTTCAAGATCATCTGTCATTGCTTCTGGTTATTCAGGAGTCAGGGTCACAGTTGAGCACTTCTGGATTATAACTGGGAAGGGTTCTGGTTGCGAGTAGAAAGGATCTTACATTTTCATAAGCCAGTGCTAGGGACATGACGCTAACCTAGTTAAGGACTGTGCACAACTCTAAATTCCTTCTACTTTTCTTTCTCCTTCAACACATCCTGGGTCACACATGGTGTGTGCTGAATGAGGATTTAATTCAGCCCATTTTTCAGTTCTTAACTTTTCCTACATCTGTAAATTATTTGGAGGAGGAGATTTAAGCTTTCAATGGTTTATGGATTATTTTCATTAAAAACAAAGTTATTTAAAATGATCTACAACACTAATAAAATTCTGTTATCAGATACTACAGCTACAATTTGAAGTGTCTAAACTACCCAACAAAGTGTACGCCCATTTCACAGACATTTTCAGCACACCCAGGGTCTTCTGAGGATAATTCCACGTGTGCCATGATTCAGCACCGCTTGTGACATCACTCAAGTAAAACTCTTCAGGCCACTTAAGAACCTTTCTCTGAGATGGCAGCATCATCATCCACATTGTGTACATAAACATGTGTGTGTGCATGTGTGAGCGTGCATGCATGTGTGTGTGCGTGAATGCATGCATGCATCATGGAGACAAGGGTGTTATTCAGGTGTGTTGTGGCTCCGGCGTGAAGCCTTTGGTTTACTTACTCTCCTCCTCCCCTGATCCTGATTCTGTTTCTTTCCCTAGCTTTTGTTAACTGGTTCTCAGGTGCACAGAACAGCTCCTGATCTGACCACGCACCACAGTTAACCTAACCACTGGGATCTTCAAGGACAGAAGCCGAGTAACATCATGACCTCAGCAGGCCTCCAGCTCCTTGCTTTCATCCTGGCCTTATCTGGGGTCTCTGGAGTACTCACTGCCACTCTGCTGCCCAACTGGAAGGTTAATGCTGAGATCGGCTCCAACATTGTAACTGCTATTGTGCAGACGCACGGGCTGTGGATGGACTGTACGTGGTACAGCACTGGGGTGTTCAGCTGTACCGTGAAATACTCCATCCTGTCTCAACCCATCCATGTGCAGACGGCCAGGGCCACCATGGTCCTGGCCTGCGTTCTGTCTGCTTTGGGGATCTGTACGTCTGTAGTAGGAATGAAATGCACTCACTTAGGTGGGAACACATACACTAAGAATAAAATCTCCTTTGCTGGAGGAGTCTGCTTTATGACTGCAGGGATCTCTGGCTTGATCCCAACAGTGTGGTACACCAAGGAGATCATAGCAACCTTTCTAGAGCTGACCATTCCGAAAAGCAGCAAGTATGAGCCTGGAGGGGCCATCTACATCGGGTTCATTTCTGCCATGCTGCTAACCCTCTCTGGTATTATTTTCTGCACTTCTTACATAAGGCAGAACCCCAAACCATGGATTTACTCTCCCAAGCATGAACATACCCCTACCTGGCAGCCAGAGAACAGGTTTGCACACAACGTCAAGGATTACGTGTAAAGAGTTGTGCCATGAATATGCAATGAGGCTTCTGAAAGCCTGCTTAAACTTTATTAGAAAAAAAAAAACACCCCCATGCCTAACTTCCTTTACAAGGAATACAAAACATTTTAAAAATTTATGATGTTCTTTAAAATGACAACAAACTAACATATACAATTATATCTGTCTTGAATTTCATTTTCCTGTTATTACATTCATGTTTTATTTAAAAGTATATAATTGAAAGAGGCTTTAATATATTAATGAGGTGACAGGATTAATTTACTTTCAAATATATATGTTAGAATAGTTTTTCATAATTATGAGGTATGAAAAGTACGTTCCCTTGGTGTTGATCAGGAATATTGTCTATTTCGCCCTCTGGTGGGCAATGCCTGAGTAGCTGGCTTCTGATTTAAAGCCACAGCCTATGGAGGAGACTCCAGGAACAGAGGACCAGAACTCATGCAGAGGTTGCCCAAGCCATCCACCGCCAGCCCCAGCTTCCATTCTAAGTTTTCATATGTGCTGTAGTATTACATTCTGTGCACACCCAGATTACATAGGACTCACGCACAGGTAACCCCGCGCTGCAGCGACCAAAAGCCAATACAAGCACAACCAAAATACAGCACTTCTTAAGTACAAGCCAACTGGGAAGAGCTCTGCCTGCTTTAGAGTACCCTGCTTTCTCCTCTGCATCTAGACGGTAGATTAAGTTCATTTCTCCAGTTACTTAGTTTTTACCCCATCCCACTGACTCCCACAGTTTGCACTATCTGACTCAGGTCCTGTGCGCTGGGGCTTAGAGGCAAGCTTCACTATGCTCAGCTTAGTCACTTTAAGTTGTACTTTTCCCCTCAAATTTTATTCAAGTTAACAAAAACACTGTTGTTAATAGAAGTAAAAGTATAAAGAATGTTTTCAAGTATAAAGTATATAAACGCACAAAGAATGTTTTAAAAATATACTTGTAACTTATGACATGTAATTAAAATATTCTAACAAAAATTTGGACTCTTCATTGGTGCAAAGTAATGCTGTAGGTTTTCTAGTAATTTATTTGCTACCTTATGCTTACTGATTGTACATTAATGACTTAGGAAGCAGAAAGAGTGTTTATGTGAATAAACACTTCTCACTGTATATGCAGAAGAGACTAGAATACTTTAATGCCATTTACTGAGTAGATCTTTATGCTCTGCAATAGTCATGTTATAGTATGACAGCTGCAGATAAGTTTTAGATTTTAGAGATCATTTCCTATCAAGTGTCCTCAGTGGACCAAATACCACAACAAGTAATGCTCACATACTAACATAAATACATAAATACTTACCTCTGGTTTGGGAACAAACGCTTTTCCGGGGATTGTAAAGAGGTGTTCAACATTGCAGAGGTACTGGGCCATAATGGAAAGGCGACTGCGCTGTTTGCTTCCTGTGGTGGCTACAAGTCTCTACAGAAGGTCAAAAGTAAGGTTTTAGCAATTTGTAATCCCATCTGACTAGACAAAATGGAGCCATCGTCTGACTCACATTTTTAAAGACAAATTACCCATAAGTCCATGCAGACTTATGGAACAAAACTCATTAACTGAGACATGCTGTAGAAGTGTCAACTGCATCATGTACAAGCACTGAATAAAACACACAAACTTCTCTACTACTGACTGTCAGAGATTTTCAAGCTACTGTTATATTCTACAACAGAAAGTCTAATGTCAAACAATAAATCAAACAACATTTTCTGAAGAAATTAGCCAACAAATAAGAACTGTAAAGATGGTTTTAAAAGTGATTCCTTAAGTATAATAGAACCTTGAATATTCAAGAACCTTTGAAACACAGGCTGTTCTTGACAAATCATTTATACAAAAGCTAGGACTTTCCCTTGTGACCACCCACTCGTTCTTGAACTAACCACATAACAAATTCATAAATAAAATTTAATTTGCATGAAAATACCAACCAGATTTTTAAACAACTTCAACTCCTGCATATAACATACATAAAATTACACTTCAGATAAAAGTGACGTAGTATCAAGAACGGTCAAGACACTGCTGAATAACACCAGCAATGCTCAGGGAGACTCACTCACCCTACCTGCTATCAGCATTAAGGCAGTGTGGTTACAAACACAAAGCCCACCCGGACACGAGTCTTAGGCACAGACCCAAGCACATGTGGGTATCTGACACATGAGAGGTGTGAGTCTCTTAACACACGGACAGACCACTCTTTAAATGGTATAGATGCAATTAAGCATTTACAGGCGAAAAAGACAAATTGCAACTGAATTAATGCTCAATGAAAAACAAAATTTAGTCTTAGGCAAAGCAGAGAAGAATTTCTTAAAAGATGCGAAAGTCAGAAGCTCCAAAAGACGGGTATCTTTCTGTTAAAAATTTCAATCAAAATACTATCAAGACACACCACAGATTAAGAATATACTTAGATAGCCAAAGCATTAGTGTTCACGACACAAACGAGATGCCTACACACCAGCCTTAACAACAGTAAGATAAAAAACAACCAGAAGATATAAGGCCAATCATGGCAGATAAATAAATGATTTATAATCATTACCTAAGCTACACTTATAAAAAAGCAGTGTGCAAGTTAAAACCACAACAATCTGTAATTTTATACTCAAAAGGAATACTACAAAAAGCTAGTAAAGAGTTGGAAGAATGAGAAACTACAGGGATTCTCTGCACAGAGGGAGAGTGGGAAGGGCAGACATTGATTTATAAATGTGTTCAACAATAATTTGTCAATAAAAGCTGAGGTTTCACAGCATATCAGACAAGAGAAGGAAGACACAGACCATCGTAGCATTATACACATTATTCAAAAAAGCAGAAAATTATAATTCTACCAACAGGGAAATGGCTAATAATTTTGCTAATGGATAGGAAGTAACTGTTAAAACTGAGTAACAGGGGTTACTAGCATAGGTTACATCCCCCATAGGGTACAGATTTTAAAGTGGCAAAAACATAAAAATCTAAGGATTTCTGTGTGTGCCTACATACACACCTACAAAACAGATAGGAAATGTGTAGGAATGGCAACTACCACTTTTAACACAGTTCAAAACATGGGAAGGAGGGCTCCGAACACAAAGCATTTGATATTTTGGCAAAGGTAATGGAAAATACGTTAAAATTGGGTTAAGACTGAGAGAAATAGGTTCAAAGATCATTCTGTGTTCTTGAGTTTTGAGAACATCCCAAAACTCTAGTGAGCTGTTTGGGATCGAGGGTCACAAATACTAATAACGAGCAGAAACCCCTGAAGCCAGGCGCACGGCACGGCAGGACGTCCATGCTGGGCACCATCCGGGCTTCCAGAGCGCCTGCTGCTGGAGTCTCTCCTACCACACTGACGTGCACTGACTAATCTAATAGCTTCCTTCCCTTGCTGCTTCTAACCTGTTCCTGTTTAAAAAAAAAAAAAAAAAAAACATGCCATTTGGCTCTTTACAACTTTACCTTACGTAAGACTAAAACAAATTTCAGGGTGCTACAGAGATGGCTCAGTGGTTAAGAGCACTTGCTGCTCTTATAGAGGACCTGGGTTTCATTCTAGCATCCATATGGTAGCTCACAACCATCCATATTCCTGTATCAGGAGACCCAGTGGGAGCCCTGGGCACTAGGCAAGACTGTGGTACACGTACATACAAATAGGCAAAACATTCATACACATAAAATAAAATAAACTGAAATAAAACCAAGAGGTTTTGGAGGAGAAGCTGAGGAATTTCCTATGACATGTCTGGAGATTTCACCGCTTATACTTTGGTGTCTCCTACCTCACCCCTCCCCCACAGCCTTTCCAATTTAAGTAACTGCTTATCTGCAGTGGGAAAGTAGAAATTATGAGAAAACTGAGCTCAAGATATCGAGTTGCTTTAGCATGTAAGACAGAAAACTGCTCCTCAACATAACATGCAAGAGGTGTATGTAGTCTCAAATAAATCCTCCTGCCTTAGCCCCTTAAGAGCTTGGATTACAGCGTGATCCACTGTGCCCAGTGATAAAACCTCATCTTTAAAACCAAATTCCAGCAAGAGTATAACCATGAAATTTAAAAATTAACCCAAAGAACTGGCTTTCGTGGATTTCCTTCTTAAAGCATAGCTAATGTGTTACTTTACATTTGAAAGATGTGTTTCCAGCGATGAATTCAAAAGAATTTGAAATTACTTTAAAAAGTAAATCTGAACAGGGTGGAATTATTCTAATTGGACTAAAAGCACAGTTAAATATATTTCAGCACCTGGTACTGTCAGAGAGGAGGTGTTCTAATCCAGACTCTACATCTATTCAGTCTCCATAGCAAGTACGCCAGGTTGTGGAGATGAAAACGTGAGCCTTAGATTTTAATTTAGAATAAGGCAACACACACAACTGCTAATCTATTGAGCAAACACTCAAAGTCACAGGCCAGGAAGTCTACAAAGACTTTACAATCAAAGCAACCTTGACAAGTTAATGGCCTAATAACCATTTAACTTTGCATTGTCATTTCTGTTTAGACATAGCATAGGTAAAACTCTGAACAGATGATTTGTTTTTTTTTGTTTTTGAGTGAGACTGTAAGTGTGTTGTTTTCGAAGACAGGGTGTCTCTGTGAAACAGCCCCGGTTGTCCTGGAACTCACTCTGTAGACCAGGCTGGCCTTGAACTCACTGAGATCACCTGCCTCTGCCTCCCACAGGCTGAGATTAAAGGCGTGTGACACCCTGGCTTGGCAATAGATGCTTTTTAACAAATAAAGGCCGGGACACCAAGTGAGTTAATTTTTCAGTAAAAGGAAACCACTAACCCTTGAGTTTTAAAAGCCGCTAAGGTGAGAAAATAAGGCATGGAAGAATTCCTAAGAATAGTATTTCCTTTACTTTCGTTACGTTTCTGTTATTCATTTTAAAAAAAATAATTAAAGAAAAGCTAAGTAGAAAAATTATACTTGTGCTTGAAGTTACAGGGACAAGGGACTAGGGACAGG